GCAGGCTGAAGACAGCTTCTTTATTCATCAACCAATAAAAGCAACACATATACGGAAGGACCTCCCACATCACGTATCTATAATAAAAACCTTCTGCTTAATCATACCTTGGAGTAGCCATGTCTTCTGTTTATACAGCTTCTTGCCTGTGGAAAGGAATCTGCAGCTGTCCTGCCTTGGAGTTGGGTGATGATTTGGGTGCCTTGCCCACCAGGCTGCATTGCAACAGCCCCATCCCCACCGCAAACTCAGCCTCACTCATGCTGTAGCCACTTAGGAGATCAGGAAAGCCATTCTACGTGACGTCAATACAGAGAAAGGTTTCTCATACTCTCTCTAGGACGCACCCTTTTGTGGCGTGCTAAAACTGAGAGAGACTGGTGTCTGGCATCAGGGTCATTAAAGGACAGTGAGTTTGCCTTTACTTTCTCTGAACTTTTTCCAGAAATGTCTGTGTGCTTATCATAACTTTGGCAGGATAAAACCAAATTATAACTTTACAGCTGCATGTGTTTGGCTTCTAGGGAATTATATAGTGTACAAATTTGTGTGATGACCCGTAGTCTTATCTATTTTTGGAATAAGTGGTCGGTTTTGCAACATTTCAACGCTTCATAAACTTTTAAAAAGTGAAACTGAATTCATTTGGGATGTCAATTTAGATGTGTTTGTCTGAATTTTTTATCAGAGTTCTTTGGGATGCTGTGGAGAGTTAACAGAGACTTAGTATTAGCAGTTTAGAGAGGAGTGCACCAGCAGAGACGTGGCTAGGAGAAGGTCCTAACTTACTAACTGCTCTGAGTTTCTTTGTTTTCATTCTTTGGTTTATACACCAATATACTAACCTCTGTAATGGGCAAATATATTTCAAACACATCATACAACCTGGGAGTCAGGCACTGCCTGTGACTGTCATTAACCTACAGAAATGCCTATTGTACTTCACAATTGTGCTGGTTAATTTTTGTTCATGTGACAAAACTAGAGTCACCTGGGAAGAGGGACTCTCAATTAGAAAACTGTCTATCAGTATTGGTCTGTGAGCAATTTCCTTGGTTAATGGTTGATGGGAGAGGGCGTAGCCTGCTGTAAGCAGTGCCACCTCTGGGTAGGGTGTGGGTAAGAAAGAAGCTGAGCAAGCCATGGGAAGGAAGCCAACCAGCAGCATTCTTCCATGATCTCTGCTTCAGTTTTTGCCGTGAGTTTCTGCCTGGTAATGGACTCTGGCTTCTGGACTAAAATAAAATCTTCCCTCCTCAACTTGCTTTTGGTCACTGTTTTATGCCAGCAGCAGAAAATCCTAACAAGGACAATTGTGTAAGGTTAGATTAGTTAACTGCCTGTCTTTAATATTTATAAACTGTTTTTAAATTTGTAAGAATCCTAGTTATCCATGACATATGCACACTGGGTCTATTGTAATGTTTACCTTAATGTTAAAATACCCTGACCAAAGCAGCTTAAGGGAGAAAGGGATTCTTTGGATTCACTGTTCAAGGACCCCATTCATCACAACTGGGAAATCCTGGCAGCAGGAGCTCAGGGTAGCTGCTCAAACCGCAACTGAAGTGTGAAAGCAGAGAACAAGGCACCTCGTGCTCAGGTAGCCCTCTGAGCTGTCTGCTACCCAAGGCCAGGGAATGGTGCTCCCCAGCTTTAGGGGAGGTCTTCCATCTCAGTCTAATCAAGGTAATCCCTCAAGGGAATGCCCAGAGGCTTAATGGTGCTCCCCAGCTTTAGGGGAGGTCTGCCATCTCAGCCTAATCAAGGTAGTCCCTCAAGGGAATGCCCAGAGGCTTGACTGTTAAGTGAGTCTAGAGTGAATCATTATTAACCATCTGCTAGGCAAGAATTTTACCACTGAGTCACTTATATCCCCAGTCCTTGGGTTCTGAGGCATTCCCCTGACATGTACCCCAAGCTACCATCGAATTCCAAAGCCTCCTGCCTCCTCTTGTCAAGTGCTGAGATTACCGTTGTGAGCCAACTCTGATTTACAGTTATTGCTTTACTTTGGCACATGTCACTTCTTTCTCCTGGTATTTCAAAGAGAATACATTTTAAAAAATGTTCCGCAATGTCCTTTTATTTGGGTTAGGCTTTTACAAATCATTATAAATGAAGATCATTTCAATGCAGGCAATATTTGAAGGACAGAATGCACTCTGCTGGAGATGAAGAGGGGAATATGATATTGTCTTGCTCTAGACACAGTCTAAAGAGAACACATGCATTTTTTTTAAATTAAAGAAGCACTCATATAGCTCTTGACATATGAGCTATTCTAAGTATCCTGCAAATATTACGTCAGGGAAGTATTAATATGTGATGAGGGCTTGTAAGGAGAGAAGAGGGAGCTGGAAGGATGGCTCAGTTGACAGAGTGCCTACCACAAGCATGAGGACCCAAATTGTGATCTCCAGTACCACATAAAAGACAGGTGCTTCAGGTCATTGGCCACACAGCCCAGCCTAATCCATATGCTCCAGGTTCAGTGAGAGACTGTTTTAAAACTAAGATAGAGGGGTTTGAGAGATGACTACAGTTAGGAACACTTGTCGCTCTTGAAGAGAACCAAGTTCAGTTTTCAGCACCCACATGGCAGCTCACAAACATCTCTAATTCCAGTTCCAGGAGATCCAATACCACTTTCTGGTCCCTGTGGGCACCAGGTATGCATACACATAGTGTACATACATATATGCATGCAAATACTCAAAATATATTTTTAGTAGGGGCCTGGAGAGATGGCTCAGGGGTTAAGAACACTCTCTGCTCTTCCAGAAGTCCTGAGTTCAGTTCCCAGCAACCACATGGTGGCCCACAATCATCTATAATGAGATCTGGTGCCCTCTTCTGGCGTGCATGTAGGTAGAGCACTTTATGCGTAATAAATAAATAAATCTTTAAAATAAATAAATATATCTTTCATAAAATCTAGAGTAATAGAGAAAGACACAGAAGGTTGAGCTCTGGTTTGAGCTCTGGTTTCTCTACCCATGCCCAGGCATATGTGTGCCCACACTTACACATGTACACTTATCACACACACAAATTTAATGGATGAATAGGGCCAAGAAGTCATTGTACTTGGATTTCACTGGAGCTTAGTCATAGGCAACAACAGAGATGTAGGACAGGAGAGGGCCCATCTCTTTCGTATCTTCAGAATATGAAACTTGCATGAGACAGGAGAACAGTCACATCCTTCCTCCAGGACAGGATGTTGGTTAGTTGGATTCCTGATCTACAAAATAGGAGCCATTTTGATCGTATTTGGGGTAGCGATTACTATTGAATTTGAATGGTCATTTCTTTCCACATCTCTTTCTTCTTAGCCTGATTGGTGTAGCTGCTGATCTTGGCTGCTTCTATACTGTTTTAAGAGAAGTTGGTAAAGACTCTCCCTTCAAAACTTGCTTGTGAATCTGGGCATGGAGGTATATGCCTTTAGTCCCAGCAGTCAGGATGGGACTAAATGGGGAGATGGATCTCTGAGAGTTCTAGGACAACCTGGTCTACATAGTGAGTTCCTAGCCAGCCAAGAGTCTACAATGAGACTGTCTCACAAAAGGAAAGAAAAAACAAAACCTGCTTGTGGAGCACACAAGATGGTTCCTTGACTAAGGTGTTTGCCACTAGTCCCATTGGCTTGAGTTTGGTCCCCAGTACTCACACAGAAGAAAGAGAACCAAGTCCCAAAGTCCTCTGACCTCCACATGCACACTGCGGAATGCAGTGCCCTATTGGACTTTACTTAAGTAGTTGTAGGAAGGATTTTAGTTTTTGTTTTATATGTAGTCTAATTTTGCTCTTTCAAAGTTTATCAACATTGCTATTGCTTTTCAAGCAATTTCCTCTAGAAATGGTTTTATAGCCATTTTCATTGTTCTGTGTTTTCTGTTTGTTTGTTTTGTTTTGGCTAAGTCTCATTTTGTAACTCAGGTTGGCCTTGAACTCATGGCAATCTTCCTGCTTCAAACTTCTGAGTCCTGTTATTACAAGCATAAACTACCACACCAAGCTAGAAATATTATTATTCAGTAAATTAACAGATTTACTTTGGTTTAAATGTTCGTTCATCTACTTGTTTGCTTGTTTGTTTGAGACAGGTTCTTATTCAGCATCCCTGGTGGCCTTGGAAGTCTCTATATAGGCCTGGCTGACCTGAAACTCACAGAGATAACAACATACCTGCCTCAGGAGTTCTGGGGTTCTAAATTTATAATATAATGTTTGCCTTTAGAAATCACTTTAGAAACCGAGACAGGAGGATTGCAAGTTCTAACCTAGGCTACGTTCTAAGACTCTATCTCAAAAGCGGGGGGAAAATATCACGCTTTTGTATAGACTCCGTGGCACAAATCAAGACATTTTTTGTATTAAGACAGAAGTTAATGCAAGAGGAAAATGTAAACAATGCATATGAGCAAAAAAATAACTTTTAAATTATATTTATTTATGTGTTATGTGTGTGGGTATATGCGTGCCACAGAACTCAATGATGGTTAGACCTCAACTTATAGAAGTTGACTCTTTCCTTCTACCACATGGACTTGGTGACAAGCATTTTTATCTGTGGAGCCAAGCCGTCTCATCAGTCCAGTATTTTTTTTTTTTTAAATCTTGCATTGGGCATTGTATTTTCATCTAGCACCTCCTCTGAATTGGTTCCTCTGAGCAAACTTACTAGGTCCCTAGAGTATATTCTCTATGATAAATTTTTCCTTAATGTATTTGACCTCTGTTGGTCTTCTTCCAAGATCAAAACCCATCGGTCGGGTTGTTCATAATGAGCAACCTCCAACCTTTTGCTTGTCTACTCTACCCCAGGCTCAGCAGTCTAATCAGATTTACAGATTAGTCTCTGCCAAACAAAATTCCAGATGAATAAGAAATACAAATTTTTTGTGTGTTATAGAGTATATTTTGTCTCTAGACAAAATTTTCTTTGTTTTTTGTAAGTTTTCAAGTGTGCCACCCGTGTGCTTTAATTCCAGGTCCATATTGTGGGAGTTGGGCTGTTCCCATAGAACTCCGGGTGAACTCGAGTGAAGTGACTGTCCAATTCCGGAGCGGATCTCACATTTCTGGCCGGGGATTTTTGCTGGCCTATTCCAGCAGTGACCATCCAGGTACAGCAGGAAAACCACCAGGCATATATAAAGCCTATCTGCCTAAAGTATCTTTCGCCTCCTTATCTCTTCCTCTGGATGTAATCGTGATATCAGAACAACTGTAATTCGGCAAGACTTGCCTTTAATTTAATTCCAGCATTCTTGAGTAAGAAGCAGCCTGATAGCTGTGATTTCAAGGCCAGTTCAGTCTGCTAGTGAGTTTGGCCAGTCAAGGCTGTAAAAGCCTGTCTCGGGAGAGTTGGGGAAGCTCCTGAGGACAGAGTGGAAGAGCTCATTTGTAAGTAGTTGGTCCTATCCTGATTCCTGGTAGATCGTTTGGTGAGTGGATCCAATGATGCATATGAGATGGAGTAACTCTTGTTTCCTATAAACTTTGATTGACACATCTTTGGGGAAATTCCCGCAACCCTGCTGTGTGGTCTGGCTTCTCTGATGTCCTTCCCCAGCACCTCCTTTCTTGCTCAGTAAACAAATGTTTTAACCAATGACCCTCACCCCTGTCACACACCTGGCACGCCAGCCCAGGGACCGAATAGTAGCAGGAGGGGAAGTCACTGCCACGTGACACCCCGTGGTTGGGGTGAGAGCATAAGTGCTGATGGGAGAAACTGTTGGCTTCTTCCTCAGCCTCATGTGTGCAGAGTCTTCACTAGGTAGCCCTCACCATCGCTATCCAGGGTGGAATACAATGTGCCCGGTGTTCCAGCTGCCGCTCCCCTTTGGCACAAATATACATGGAAGAGGATGTGCCACTCATTTCCTTCAGAGTAGCTTAGATGTGACTGGCCATTATGGTCAGTGTTTCCCATATGTTGTTCCTTAAGGTTCTTAAAAGATGGGCTCAGAGGTTTGATGTGGGATTCCCCTCTGTATACCATTGGTTAATAAAGAATCTGCTTTTAGCCAATGGCTTAACAGAATATAGCCAGGGTAGAAGAGATAATATAGAGAGAAAGTAGGCGGGGTCAGAGAGAAGCCATGTAGCTGCCCGCAGGAGACAGATGCACTGGAACCTTACCAGTTAGCCACAGCCATGTGGTGATATACAGATAAGTAGAAATGAGTTAATTTAAGATATAAGAGTTAGCCAAAAATATGCTTAAGCTATTGGCCAAACAGTATTGTAATTAATACAGTTTTCTGTTGTGATTATTTCAGGAGTCTGGGCAACGGGAAACAAACAAGCAGCCTCTCCCAACAATTTGGTGCTAACGTTAAGAGCACTGGCTGCTCTTCTAGAGGCCTTGAGTTCAATTCCCAGCAACTACATGGTGGCTCAATCATCTATAATCAGATTTGGAGCCCTCTTCTAGTCTGCAAGCATACATGCAGGCAGAACACTTTATACATAATCTATCAATATTTTTTTAAAAAAGTATTTTTTATTGATATTTATTGAGCTCTACATCTTTCTCTGCTCCCCTCAATGCCTTTCCCCTCCCTCTTCAATCCTCCCCCAAGGTCCCCATGCTCCCAATTTACTCAGGAGATCTTGTCTTTTTCTACTTTCTATTTCCCATGTAGATTATATCTACGTAAGTCTCTCTTAGTGTCCTCATTGTTGTCTGAGTTCTCTGGGATTGTGATTTGTAGGCTGGCTTTCTTTGCTTTATGTTTAAAAACCACCTATGAGTGAGTACATGTGATAATTGTCTTTCTGTGTCTGGGTTACCTCACTCAAAATAATGTTTTCTAGCTCCATCGATTTTCCTGCAAAACTCAAGATGTCGTTATTTTTTTCTGCTGTGTGGTACTCCATTGTGCAAATGTACCACATTTTCCTTATCCATTCTTCAGTCAAGGGGTTCCTGGAGAGAAGGGGCTATTGCCAGGAATGGAGTATTTGGGGAAATATTTTGCCGATTTAACTAAGTATGTTCCCCTGTAAGGAACTTTTGTTTTACATACTTGTTCCTGATTGTTGATCATGATTATTGATCTTGAGCCGCCACACACCTTTAATCTCAGTAGTTAGGAGGCGGAGGCAGAGGCAGACAGAGCTCTGTAAGTTTGAGGGCAACCAAGTCTACATAGACCCTGTCTCCCAAAAGAAAAAAGAAAACCAAATCAGAAGACTGTTCATCAGCATCTCACTATTCTTGATAAACTTTTTCTATGTCATTGAACGCCGCTGGCTAAACTGTTGGAATTGAGAAGTTCTGAGGAGCTGGGCATGTCACTCCATTGGTAGTGTGCTTGCTTGTCTAGGATGTGCAGAACCTGGGTTCTAACTTCAGCACCATATGGATCCAGTCATGGAAGCCTATACCTGTAAGCCCAGCACTCAGGAAGGAAAGTCCAGAGGACCGAAACGTGTGTCTTAAGGCTTCTATTGCAGTGAAGAGACACTGTGACCATGGCAACACTTATAAAGGAAAACATTTAATTGGGCTGACTTACGTTTTCAGAGGTTCAGTCTATTATCGTCAAGAGGGGACATGGCAGACATGGTGCTGGAGAGGTAACTGCGAGTTTCACATCTTGCACAGACAATAGGAAGTGGTCTGAACCACTGTGCATGACTTAAGCATATATAAGCCCTCAAAGCCTGCCTCCACATACACACTTCCTCCAACAAGGCCACACCTTCTAATAGTGCCACTCTCTCTGGGGACCATCTTCTTTCAAACCACCACAACATGTCAAGGTCATCCTCAGCTACATAGTGACTTTGAGACCTGGACTACCTCAGACCTTGTCTCAAAAATAAAGTAAAATAAAAATCTTCCTGAGGATGTTTTCTATGAACTGTGATGGGTTTTTTAATGACTTTCCTCCTGATAAGGATATTGTATGCGTGATACCTGCAGGTGTCCAGTGCTTACTGTTAGAAGTAGATTCTGTTATTGTTCTCAAGACGTAGCACTGAAAGTCACCATCGGTGACAGGCCAGGAAAAAGAAACTGATTCAACACTGGAGACTGTAATCTCGGGTATTATTTATTTTTAGACAAATTCAAATAACATGATAATGCTTTCAAAATTTACTTTATCTCTAAAGAAATACTTAGGAACAGGTGCTAATTGCGCGTCTCTTTATTTGTAATAGATTTAATAACGTGCTTGGAACGAGGCAGTCATTATTCGGAGGAAAAATACAGGTAAATATGTGTGTTGATTTATTTATGTATAACAATAAGGAGTATTTGAGATATTCCCAAAAGAAAGAGTCTGCAAACCTTTTGTCTAGAACTACACTGTAGAGGTTTTGTAGGCCAAGAGTTTCCATTGCAAGGACTCATGCAATCTCTGTTGTGTTGAAGCAAAAAAGCAAAGGTAGATGATGGAAACAAATTTTAGTGTCATAATAAAGTTTTGTTTAGAAGAAAAAGCCCAGACTGGAGAGATGGTTCAGCAGTTAGGAGTACACAGTGCTCTTGCAGAAGACTGAATTTGGTTTCCAGTACCCACACCAGGAAGCTCACAGCCACCTATAACTCTAGCTCCAGGGATCCAATACTCTCTTCTGACTTCTTTGGGCACCTGTCCTTACATGTGGATTCCCATATAAAAATTCACACATGTACACATTGATTTAAGATAAAGAAAATCTTTGTGGGAGAAAAAGCAGCAATGTTGGGATATGGTTCAGACTGAGCCAGACTGAGCATGGCTCATGGACATACCTGTATTGTCCTGGTCACTGGGAACTGTAGGCAGGAGGTTGAGCCTGGGCTGTAGCGCTCTCTTTCTAACACACACACACATGTGCACACACAAAGAAGTAGAAGCAGGTCAGATTTGGGACTTGGTCCACCATTTTGCTTATCCCTAAGTTCTGCTGTGTTACCAATGAGCCACAGTTGAGTCTGGAATCAGTTTCCTGGCTGGTATGTGGAAATGCATTGTATAACTTTTATAGGGTCTTTGCCTTCTACCCTACAGAAAAGCCTATAGAGAATAAAGACATGGGTTGTTAGCTCAGCTTTATCTACAGATCTACTATCTCTGATCCAGTTTCCTCCCGAACCATTTATGAAGTGGTGTGGTCTAGAGGGAGCTCCCAACATAGGCATGCTCTTTCTGCAATTCTTTGTTGTGTAGGGCTGTCCTAGGCATTGTTGAATGCCTCGCTTCTCTGAATTCACTGTCCAGATGCCAATTGTGACAACCAAGACTGGCTCCAGACAATGCCTCATGTCTTCTGAGGGACAAAAGCACCCCCAGCTGAGAATTGCTGTCTAGAAGTCGCTGCCAATAGCGATAACAAAACTGTAATGACGGAGTGCTATTTTAGCGGCAGTGCAGCTCTCTGCCCCATACACATAAGTCACTTTTGTAATGCTCCATGCCTGCAAGGTTCTGTTACATCCTGAAAATGGAAGCTGAAAGCCACTAAGTCAACTACACTGAGTGTACTTGGGGAGTTAGGTTTGAGAGCCTGTATTGTTAACTATCTCACACATTTGGACATTCTCAGTGTAGGTAGTTGATGTGCAGAATCAATTCCAGTATTAGCTAATACTAAATCTACCAGAGAAACATGAGAAGCCAAAGTCTATAAAATAAATGTTGCCTTGTAGCTGGGCAGTGGTGGCTCACCTTTAATCCCGGTGCGCGGGAAGCAGAGGCAGGTGGATCTCTGTGGGAGTTAGATGCCAGTCTGGTCTACAGAGTGAGTTCCAGGACAGGCTCCAAACTGCAGAGAAACCCCGTCTCGAAAAACCAAAACAAACAAGCAAGCAAAATGTTGCCTTCTAAGGTTATCATTCAACTCTTCTCTCTCTCTCTCTCTCAGAGGCTAATGGCCTCTAAAGTTTCACCAGCCACACCCATTCGGGGTCCTGGGCATCATAGAGAAGAAGAATATAGTTAAGCTTACAATAAGATCGATTCCACTTTAGCCATTTTGCAGTGCTTTAGTATTGTTGCTAGTACAGGCCCACAGCCCCTACCCATAATTCGGGATTATGGACAGCTTTGGAAGTCCTTTGTTACCCATTTGATTGTCAATTCATTTGACACCAAAATTAGACTACATTAGCATGAGGTTATTTAGTCATTCTGCATTTTACTTACTGTAGCCATTGTGCTTCCCCTATGAGCTTTTCCACGGCCTTTGATTAACATGTGTGGGCTCCGTGGGGGTCTGATATTATGTGCATCGTTGGCAGTGTTCCCCTTCCCTCAGTGCTCAATGTTATGAATTCAGAGACTTATCTGGCACTAAGCAGCTGGTTTCTTGAGGCTCTGTGGGCCTGCAGGACGTTGTTTTCATTCCTCAGTTCCTTTTTCACTGCTGCCGTGCAGGCCGCTAGAAAAGAACTATGGACATTTATTGCAGTCGCTCGCTAATTAATTGTCCTTACAACCTGATTTTCTAAGCAGCAAGAAGAAAGTAAAAGGAAAGGAAATAATAATAAAATAAAAGCAGCTGCTATTTTGGAATCTGTCCCTTTTTAAATGGAGTGAAGAAACCTCAAACCCTACAGAGAGAATATAAGCAAAGCAACTAAGGAATGCTGACAGCTCCAATTGATTGTACAGTACCAAATGGTCAGCCCTGAAAATATACATACAAGTTGCATTGTAGAGGCCAAACGGGTTGTATTTATGTATTAGGAAATAAATGTTTATTCATATATGTAACAATGATCAATGAAAAAAGAGGCTATGCATTTGAAAGAGACCAAGGAGGGGCATATAGGAAGCTTGGAGGGAGGAAAGGGAAGGGGAAAATTGTGGAGGGAGGAAGGAAGGAAGGAAGGATTGCCAAGTAGTATATATAGAAATGGGCGTGCAGCATTTATCTTCAAAGCTGTCAGTGTTTTTATACTTTGGCTATGTGTGTGTGCACGTGCGTGCATGCGTGTGTGTGTGTGTGGTTTGTGTGTTTCAGAGATGTAAGTAGCTGCCTTTGATGCTTCAAGAAACTAGAAATAGAGAGTGAGCCAGGGAGGCGATAGCGGTGTTCAGGGTCGACTAGCTAAGTAGAGTATGGCTCAGGTTACCTCACCAGACTCCAGCGTGGAGACCCTTCTGCCTCACTAGCTTCCATGATGTGTTCCTACACAGCTCTGTGAATGATGACTGTTAAGTAAATCAAGCCCTGTTTTATTGTTTATTTACCGTGTATGTATGTACACACACATGTGGATCAAGCCTGCCCTTAAACATGTGATTCTGTTATCTCAGCTTTTGGGTTAGTTGGGATTACAGGCTTGGATAATGAGGCCCGAATGAGCCTATTAAAATATGCCTTTTTAATTGTAAAGGTAATTTATTATTAGCACAGATTGGCACTATCTGTTATAGTGTCCCTGAAGACAGTGTACTTGAGCTATATCAAGTTCAAGGTGAAGTGCACTGCAGGTATAAAATATACCCCCAATGCTAAGAAAAAACAAAGTTAAATGTCTCCTTGATTCTTGCTGTTTTTCCATTGTATATGGAAATTAACAGAATTTAGGTTTATTGTGTTAAATATATATAATTAATTTTCCATTTCTTTTTACTTTTCTAATACAGCTACTAGAATATTTAAATCTTTATAGCAAACAAGAACTATTATGTAAAACTTGTCTCCAGGTTAAGATTTTATATCAGTTTGTGTTTTTGTAAATTGGGCTTCTCATCTGTCTTTAAAGCAACATAATTGTTGCCTGTGTTATTAAAGAGGAAAAATAACTTAAATTTAAGTTTAGTTTAATGCCTTTCTTTGGTTTGAATGTAATTTGATAAAATATGAACTCTTTTTTTCCAGCAAATTCTGCCCAGCTGGTTGTAGAGACATAGCAGGGGACATTTCGGGGAATATGAAAGACGGCTACAGAGATGTAAGTGACTAAGGCGTCTCAGAGGTGTGAGTGTGCTTGCTGGGCCTGAAGTGATTGAAAAATCAAGCAAGATGGGAGACAAAAATCTACACAGATGTGCATTTTATCTTTTTGTGAGATGGTGAAATGTATTAATTTTGAAACCGAAGTATTCTATGCATTCATTCTTATTTCCTGTTAAGAGTAATAGAAGTAAAATGAAGAACAAAAATATTTTTAGGACCTAAGAAGTATTATTCCATTGTACTGGTCAGTTTTCTGTTAGTATAGTTAATACCTGAGATAAATATTTTTGGCAGTTTCAGTCCAGCCTGCTTGCAGTATATCATAAAGGAAGTCTGACATGCAGCAGTATGTCATAGGGGAGTCTGAGATACAACAGTGTGTCATAGGGGAGTCTGAGATGCAGCAGTGTGTCATAGGGAGTCTGAGATGCAGCAGTGTGTCATAGGGAGTCTGAGATGCAGCAGTGTGTCATAGGGAGTCTGAGATGCAACAGTGTGTCATAAGGAGTCTGAGATGCAACAGTGTATCATTGGGGAGTCTGAGATGCAGCAGTGTGTCATAGGGGAGTCTGAGATGCAGCAGTGTATCATAGGGAGTCTGAGATGCAGCAGTGTGTATCTTAGCAGAATCTGAGATGCAGCAGTGTATCAAAGGGGAGCATGTGGTAGATGGAGCAAGCTGCTCACCTGAAGACAACTGGCAAAAGGGAGAATCCACAGACCCTTTCAATGGCACGTTCTTGGTGGCCTACTTCTTCCCATAAGGCCAGCTCCCTAGCATGTGCTAGTACGTCACAGGCTGGGCATTTGCTTTTTAATGCATGAGCTTTGAGATGCAAACACCTGTCCAGTTTCCACAAAAGCCCATAGATTCATATACTTAAATATTCATAGTCCCCCTCTCCCTTCTCTTGTACTCAGAATTCATCGTTTTGTTGTTGTTGTTGTTGTTTTGTGTGTGTGTGTGTGTGTGTGTGTGTGTGTGTGTGATGTACATATGTAGTTGCACATGCCATGGCATACATGGAGGTCAAAGAGCAAATCTGTGGAGTCCATTTCTCCTTCCACTTTATGTGGGACTGTCAGACCTGCATCATCAGATGGTGGGCACTGCTGACCCTGAGTCGTCCTGCTGGCCCCAGCTCTGTAGCTCCAGGTGACTTCTGTGCTAGAGCCAGTGACGTCACATCACAGAGTAAAACGCCTTCTGCCCTACTCTCGTTTGCTAGAGCTGCCCACCCCCTCCGTTCTTATGCCTAAGAGGACTCTCTGGATTTTATATATACTGTTCCCAGACCAAAATAAATCTCAGAAGCTTATTTTTCTAATCTGTCCTCTCTCCTAATAAATAAATTGTTTATTTCTATTTATCTTTCCATCCTGCAGACCTATGCCCCGCCCACCCCCTCCTCTTTGCTCTCTCAGCTTATATCACTATTTAAAATGGTTGGATTTACCCCTCACTGTTGAAAGGTGACTTATTGAAAATGTGAAGTGTCTGTATAGTGTCAGGAAAAGCAATTACTGGCTTGTCTTGGTGCATGGAGAAGTGTCTCTTGCCCACACTGTAGAGACTGAAATGTCACTTGACAGGAGAGAAAACATGACTTTAATTTTGTTGCAGATTGGGGTTTTTTTTGTTATTTTTTTGTTTTCTCTTAGCACATCCTGATTTTGAAATACTGCTTTTTGTTTCCTCCTTCTTGTATTGTTTTTGTTTATAAATTGGACACAGGATATTCATCTGGCTTATTGGAATTTTTTCTTTCTTTCTCCCCTCCTCCCCCACATGTGGAACACCTGTACCTCTTTGTTTTGAATATTTACTTGGTGAAGCTATTCCTAAATGATTCCAGGAATTTAAGTAGGGGAAGTCAAATGTTGAAACGGAGTTTCTTCCCTTTTCGTGGAAAGGTTTTATATTGTTTCTTGTTGTGTGTGTGTGTGTGTTTGTCTGTCTGTCTGTCTGTCCGTCTGTGTGTTGGGGGGCCAGTCATCCTGTGTGTTAGATCTGAATTCTTACCTGCAAGTACTAGCATACAGGGTCCCTCTTGGCACCATTTGCTTTTGAATTTATTTTGTTTTTCAAGACAAGGTTTCTCTGTGTAGCCTTGGCTGTCCCTGGAACTTCATCTATAGATCAGATTGACCTCAAACTCAGAGATCCACCTGCCTCGCCTCCTGGGTGCTGTGACTAAAGATGTGCACCACCACACCTGGCCTCGTTGGAGGAGTCTGGTTAGTGTCTTCCGTGAATCTGATAGATTCTTCACAGCTGCATAGCAGGGTGCATACACCAAGGCTGAAACGACATCTGTTGTCTCCAGTTGTCTTGTCTTTTTTTTTTTAAGTTGCAAGACCACATTTCCTTTTTTCCCCCTTTTTCTTTCTTTCTTCATCTTTGTTTGTTTTGTTGTTGTTTTGTTTTGATTTGATTTTCAAGACAGGGTTTCTCTATAGCTTAATCCTGGAACTTGTTCACAGGCTGGTCTCGAATTCACAGAGATCCACCTGTCTCTACGAGTGCTGGGATTAAAGGCGTGCATCACCACCACCCGGCCAGTTGTCTTTTCTTAATTATACACTTATTCGTTTAGAGACCAGGTCTCACCATGTAGGCCTGGCAGGCCTGGAACTCCCTATAGACCAGCCTGGCCTCAAACTCAGTGGTCCACCTGCTTCTGCATCCCAAGTGCTGGGGTCAGGGACATGCACCACTACACGTGCCTTTGTTTTTTTAAGATACACATATTTTGTGTCTCTGTGTCCTGTGTGTACAGGTGAGCATTTGCTATGTAGCCATCAGAGAACAATTTCTCTCCGTGATGGAATCCAGGGATCAAACTCAGGTGGTCAGACTTGCCACAGGCACTTTTACGAACTATTTTGCTGGCCCTGTGTCTCCCATTTTCTATGGCTGAGGAGTCCAAGCGGGGTTTGACTGGGTGCCCACTGCAGGATCTCATAAGACTGCACCTGAAATGTCAGCTGGAGCTCCAGTTCCTCCAGTGACAGGTGGGCTTCTCAGCTTGCATTGTTAGGCGCACTCAGGCACTTGAGCGTCAGTGGGCCAAAGGCCCACTATTTTCTTGGATTTTGCCTGTTGTTGCTGCCATTCTTGTCGTGTGCTTCCTAACATGGCCGCACACCTCCTGGAAGCCAGCAAGGAAGAATGACTAGCAAAAGTATCTCCTACTAACATGGGACAAAGTGAAAAGGGGTAACATCCCACCTCTTTGTCACGTTCTCTGAGTTATTAATAGGAAGATGTCATAGCTTCCGCACATATTCAGCGTTTTACAGGGGGGATTACCATGAGGCAGATCCTGGGAGTTATTTTAGCATCTGCTTTGTGGCAGCTTCCTCTTAGGAAATACATTCCATGTAATGAGTCTTTTTGGGGAGAGTCTTTGCAAATCCAAAGCATCCTGTACATCAAAACAACAGAATCTGGAAAAATAATTACTTGAGGAGCCATCGAAGCAGCCAGCATTCTGACTTGAGGGAGAATGTGTCCTTGCGCTGGTCTGTCTATCTGCCTGCCTGCCTGCCTGTCTTTGACAAGGTTTCATGTAGCCCAAGTTGACCTTGAACTCTATGTATCCATGGCTGGGCTTGAGCTCCTGGTCTTCCCTGTTTCCATCTCCCAAATGCTGGGATTATACAACATAGAGAATATGTGGTCTTGAAGAGATAGTTACAGAAAAGTTATTGATTCATTCGGTGGGCCCAAAAGGCAACAAGCAGTAGGATCAGTGGATAGGCATAGAGATGCCAACTTCAGCTGCATAAAAGGAATAATTAAATAGCATAGACTGCAGTAGGGTGTCTGGAGAATATGTAGATGTTACAGGCATGTTGTTGGTGATTGTATGGGTAAAGGTGCCTGTGGGTGGGGAAAGAAGGAATCTTCAGAGGCTGCACATGAAAATCTTTTAAGGGTCTTTTTCAGTCCTGAAGATTCTGGACTCTGTCTCATTGTCTGACCATGTAGGCATCTACACCATGTCTGTTTTCAGTGCCTATAGAGCAGTGTGGCCTTGGTTTCTCCTTAGGATGTGACCACAGGGCAGCTTTCCATAGCCACCTTTCCAGCTTGCTAATAGTGGGATACATCTGTTTTTAATAGGAACATCAGTTAACCAATTTATTATTATTATTATTATTTATTTTGTTGTGGGGGGTTCTGTGTACCATCACATGAGTAGGGGTCAGAAGACAACTTGTGAAAGTCGATTTTGTGTTCACTGTGTGGATTCCAGAAATTGAACTTGTCTTGGTCACTGTTCTATTGCTGTGAAGATACACTTTGACCAAGGCAAATCTTATAAAAGAAAGCATTTAATTGGGGGCTTGCTTATAATTTCATAGGTTTAGTCCATTATTATCATGGTGGGGAACATGTTGCCACACACAGTGCTGAAGCAGAAGCTGAGAGCTACTTCCTGATCCATAGGCTGAGAAAGAAAGATGCTGGGTTTGGCGTGGGCTTTTGAAACCTCAAAACCACCCCAATGACACACTTCCTCCAACAAGGCCACACCTCTTAATCCTTATAATCCTTTCAGATAGTGCTACTCCCTGGTGACTAAACATTCAAGTAACCCTGTGGGGGCCACTCTTATTCAAACCACCACTGATTTTAAGTATCTAATGTGGCAGTTAATTGGGCACCTTAACTTGTGAGGCTATCTTGCCAGCCTTCACTAATTCATTTTGCAAATTTATTGGTCTCAAAAAATGCTTAAGAAACTGCCAACAAGGACAATAAAGAGTAGATGTACCAAAGTGGGCAGGGGAAAGTCAATGAAACCTCAGCCCTACTCAGAAAAATACAGGCAACTAAGGAATGCTGAGAGCAGGAGAAATACTCTTCTCCAGGTAAAACCATACCAATTGGTCATCCAATACCAAATGATCAATCCTGAAAATAAACATATGGGTAACGTTACACATACACACACACACACACACACACACACACACACACATACA